TTCCTGTTTCAGCTGCCATGCCTGCCACTTGCTACTATGTTTCCCTGCCTCGGTTGGCAATGGACTCTAACCCTCTGAACTTTAAACAACCCCTTCCTACTATAAGTTACAGTGTCTGGCTCTGGTGTTTCGTCACAGCAGCAGAGCAGAGACTGATACAGAACCTCTGTGTTGAAAAGGGAAAACTGAAGACTTTTCAGGTCTCTCTTTGGAACTGAGTTGTGATACAGACATATGTGGGTGTTGACCCGTAATCTCCCAACTATGACACACTGTTGTTGAGTTATATTTCTTAACACTGCTGAAAAGTGCCCCAGTGCTCAGGTATTGTCATGGCAGACTAAGCCTGGATCTCATTTCTTGTCCAATGGTTCCCTAAGTATAGTCTCCTGGGGACTGGTTATGGGTCTCACCGAAGACAAAAATCTCAGAACTCTGGGTGTGGCAGAAGCCTGTGGGGTCTACCAGCTCTTTCAGATGACTCTAATTCAAGTTAGAGACTCCTCATCCTATATGTTGCTTGCGTGGACACCTGGCCTTGAAGGATTGCTTTCTTAAAGTCACAGCATACTTGGGTCTAACTGACATTTGATGCATGCCTCTTAGAGGCCTCATCTACTCTCTCTTGCTGCATAACAAATCCCCCCCACCTGCTCTGGCTCTCGGAGCTCCCCAGGTTCTCCCGGCTGTCCCCCACCATAGGTGTTTGGCAAGCCTTTTCTGTTGGGGAAGATCTTAGGCTCACTCCCTCCAAAGGCCTGCTCTGAGCTTTAACATAAAACATGGCCATGGTGCTCTTCAGCTTTCTCAGTGATGTGTCCTGAAACGTTACAGGTGTGTTCACATAGACCTACCCTCTTTAGACCAAGCCATCCTGAAGACAGAGTGCTTGCTTTGTCTACGGATCTGCTCAGGGTGTAGCAGGTACTCCGTGACTGTTTGACCTGTATGCTTTATTCTTCCTCCTATCTGTAGAATGGTGCTTTCTAGAAGATTAAATAAATGACAAAATATATTAAGGAGTTGGAATTTGTTGGTGATCTGACTTCGTCAGTAACTCCCGTTTTCATGTGTTTAGTCTAATTGGTAAATTATCATATCAAACACGTAATTGATGCCAGTATTTAGATCTAGAAGGTCTTCCAAAGGCTCCAGTGGGGGAAGCTAAGATCTCAGTGTGGCAGTATTTGGAAGTGCTGTGGACTTGCAGGTAGTGGGGCCTGAAGGAAAGTCTTTAGGTCATTGGGAGGTTGGCTCAAAAGGGGGTTGTGAGACTCCGGCTGCCCAGGCTTATCTCTTTGGCTTCTTTGTTCATGATGTAAGTCATGTGACTATGGCAGCTCTGTCTTCTTGATACACTGCCCAGTTTAGAGTCCCATAAAACAGGACCTTCAGAATTATAGGACAATGTAAGGCTTTTCTCTTTCTAGGCTAGTCACCTCAAGTATTCCATTATAGGAAGGTGAAGATGACACTATGAACGGCAGCTCACCCTGGCTCTTCCACCCATCTCTTGTGAGTGCAGTGAACGCTCCCTGTTTTGTAGATCAGGAAACTGACCATCAGAAAGATGTTCATAATTCAGAAGCCGCCGAGGTAGGATCCTCACAGAATTCTTTTGATGTACTCAAAATAATGAAAAACAGAAGCATGCTCATTTCTTATTTTTTCCCCACTAGGCATCTTGAGTAGGCCAAGATCAAAAAGAGGAAAATTAACATGAGAATGAAGTTCTGAGTTCAGGCTGCAAGTGGGAATCACTGTATATATTCTGAAAGGACCAGAAGAAGGCTTTGTGGGAGCCCGATCTTTCCACCATGTATTTGGGATTTTCTTGTGCATTTAGAATCCCTGCTGCATGAGGAAAGCAATTCTCACCCTTCTACTACACTTCTGATGAGGTTGGTGTGCAGAGAGTAAGGTGTGCACATTGTTAATAGGACAATCCAACCCGTTTCCTTGTTTCTCTAGTTTCAGTGACACACAATCTGGTCTTCTTCCTCTTATTTCAAACACTCTTATGTCTTTGTCACCCAAAGTCACTTAAAGGGGCAGGAGTGCTGAAGGACTGAGGGGCTGCTGTGGAAAGGAGGCTAGAGTCAGCCAGGGCCTTGGGTGTTTTATGGTCCCTTCTGATTATTTGTGGAGATTAGCTTTTAGCTTGTTGGATTAAATCTCACTGATATGGTTTAGAATCTTCCTTTTTGATTTTCTTTGTTTTCAGAGAGCATCATGTGTGTGAGTGTTTGCTTACATGTATTTATGTGCACTGGGTTTGTGCAGTGCCCCTGGAGGTCAGAAGAGGGCCTTGGGAATCTTGGAATTGGAGTTACAGATGGTTGTGAGTCACCATGTAGGTGCTGGGATCTGAACTTGGGTTTTCTTCTAAAACAGCAAATGCTCTTAGCTGTTAAGCCAGCTCTCCCGCCCTAACCCCGCTACCCCCACCACACACATTAACCACAGCACCCTGCATATAGAGGATGCCAATGAGTAGGCAGGGAGAATGGCAATCCATTGGGATTGGTGGTGCACCTTAAAACCTGCACGTGTGGGAGAACAGAGCCATGGAAGCATGCATACAGAAACACACAGGGGCAGCAATGTCGCAGCGTAGCGAGTATGCATTTATTTGACAGAGACCAGTCGAGGCAAGGCATGGATAGACCCAGAGAAGGAAGAGGATGCTTAGAGCTTGGAACAAATTAGGGAAGGCAAAGAAAGGAAGGGAGGAGGGAGAAATGGAGTGAAAGACAGACTTGCTTGGGGTCATTTATCGTGGGCAGCAAAATGGCTGTGTACAGAAAAATGATTTTCAAATTGGAGAGTTTGCCCCATTCCCTGTATGAATTGGGTATCCTTGCTCTGCATGCTTGTAAGATGACCAGGAGAATAAAAATGTCTGTTCAATAGTCCTGAACTCGACACCTGTCTCTCGTTAGTCCTGTGTGTTAGGGGACATGGGCCCCGCTCCCGGAGCCCACAAGGTAGTGCTGAGACAAGGGCAAAGCTGACCAGGACAAACAAAGGGTGAACCACCAGACTAGGACTCTCTGGACGCCTCATCCAGTGTGGAAGTTCTTATTGAACGCTAATCTGGAATCTAAGGGCCGCTGTGAAGACAGTTTATCCGTGGAGGAGGCTCCAGATCACACTAGACGTGTAGGTGGGCGTCACCCACTCAGGAACAGAAGAGGCTTCCTGGAGTAGATGGAACTGTACCTCAAGTTTCCACTGTGCTGCAGCAGCTCTGGGATTCCAGAGGGATTTGCAAGATTCTGGAACTGTGTGAACCAAGCACCTAAAATGACCCCCCCCCATGCAAGCACTTTTGCACACGGGTATACAGAACTCTGCTGATGCACCCCCTTAGTCCTGTAAGGTGTGCGGAGGGAAGGTGTTGGGAGAAACCTCAAGAGAGAGCCACGGGACCCAGAAAGGCCTGTAGTGAGGCAAAGCAACAGCATGAACCCAAAAGTTCCAGAAAGGTCCAGTCTGCTGGTGAGATCAGACTCATTTTTTTAAAATGACTTCTGCTACTTTTGAGATCAGAAGAAAAGAAAAAGGTGCTTAAATTGAAGCGAGATGGACTCTTTATTACAATCGAGGGAACAGGTGCGGGGATTATTCTGGAATAAAAAAAAACACAAAAAAATCGTTGATGTTGGAGAGAGTCTTGTGAATGGTTTATGAGGTTCATGTTACAGCTACCCCTGGGTCGGTGACTTCCTACATGTACCTGGGGAAGCATTGTGATGGGAGCAGGAGGAGGTGGTCAGCTTGGGGTTCCTGGTGGCAAAGTGGAGTGCCTTCCGGGAGGGCAGTTTTAAAGAACTGAAATTCTTCCACAGAGAGCCGAGGCAGCATCCAGTCTCCGTCCCTTCCTTGGCCAGTTCTCTTTCAAATCAATCCTGTCACCAAGAGTTCAACAGCCCAGGCTCTGCACTCCTCCGGGAGGCTGGGCAGAATTGCTGCCTACCACTCTGGGGTTTCTATGGGTGTTGGGGAGGGCGGCTGTCTTCCTGCCCCACAACATCCTCCCACAGGCACAGCATTCAGCATCCTTGGTCCCAGTCTTGGGGTGGGGGTGGGGGTGGAGTAGCGGGTTGTCCCAGAGAAAGCAGTCCGTTTTCCTCCATTCTCCCTTGACTCTGGCGTCCAGTTCCTTCCTGATTCGGGAACCCCAGGCCCAAATCAAGTAGCTCCAAGAGCTCAACGACTATTCCTTTACCCCCTCCCCAGTGTAGCCCCGAAGACCCCGCGTCTTCATTCTGCTGTCACTCTGAGGCTCACAGAGCATCAGCTGGACGGTGTATCTGTGCCACCCTGGTTGGAGGGGCGCTAGTGAGGAAGATACTCACCTGTAGGGATCCGGGGTCTCTCGCGACACCCGGACTCTGGAAGGCATGGCTTGGAGTCCTGTGGAAGACGCATGCATGACAGCTAGAGCAGGAGGTGGCAGTGGGACGCTGGGTGATGGGTGCAGGTGAGGCTCTTGTTGCTCCCGGGCGGGAGGCGGGCCGAGGGCGCCACGGGGAGGACGTATTGGCAGCTGGGTCGACGCATAGGGCTGGGAGGGGGG